GGCGGGCGGCAGAAGTGGGGCAGGTCCCCGGGGACGGCCGCGCGCTCACCTCGGGGTAGCAGTCCTTCGCCAGCACCTGCAGCATCGCCGTCTTCCCGCACTGCACGTCTCCCACCAGCACGAGCTTGCACCTCACCACCACCGGCTGCGGCGCCCGTCGCTCCTTCATGGCTGCGGCCTCGCGGGGCTCGGCTCGGCTCGGCTCGGCTCGGGCTCGCGGAGGAGAAGACCGCGCCGCGCTGCAGCGAGGTTCCCGCACACTGCCCGCTCCCAGGGCTAGGGAGGAGGCCGGCGCTGCCTCTTTATATTGCCGAGCTGAGCCAATCACAGGAGGAGGCGGACACCGTCCAGGCCAATTCCTGAGAGGTGGGATCCCCTCCAGCAGCCAATGACAAGAGGATCTGAGTCAGCGCCTCCTTCCGCCCGTCCCTCACTTAAAGTTGCACCGTTGCTTCCTCCTCGAAAGGGATTCCCATGCTGTTCTGTATTTTGTATTTGAAAGGGTGGAAGGACTTGAAGCAAAATTAAATGAAGAAAGTGTCCAACAGGTAGTGTCAAAAAACATAAGCTAGCCATGGAAGCAGAAAGTGAGGTCAAGTTGAAGGTGCAGACACTGCCCCAGGAGAAGGACAAGACCAGCCTGAAACTATGGAGAGGTGCCCCCTGGGCAGGGTGTGGGGTGGCAGGGTGGTCCTGGAGACCTCTGACCGCTTTCCTCTAAATCCTGTTCACACCAGTTCCCACCTCTGGCATCCCAACATCAGTTCCTAAAGCCCTCCGCACCTTTCTGTTGTGGCAAGATCTCCATAGGCAGTCCAGGCTGGCCTTGAACTCATTATGTAGCCCGGACTGGCCTCACACTCATGGGGCTCCTCCTGCCTCAGCCTCCCCATATAGGGATTATTGATGTGCCCTCCCACACCTGCCTCACAAGTCCCCCCTCAGGAATAACACTGACCAAAACAAATGAATATTCAAAGCTCCACTCTTGACCAGAGCTAGGCAGAAAGAAAGGAGCGAGAGACTGCAGTAGGGGAGAGAAACAGGCCGCAGCAGAATAACGCCCTGTCCACTGGCCAACCCTCACGGCACGCCAGCATCCTTAGCAGGGTTTGTTCTCCTCCCTGGTTTAGCTGCCTGGATGAATCAAGCACAGGTCTCGTTCCAGGTTGATGTCAACTGACACTGATGCACTAATGTGTCACCTGCTTAAAGTCCAGCCAAGAAGACTGTGGCTGGGACAATGGGATTAGAAGTTGGAGGGCTACTGGCTGGGCATGGTGGCACTCTGGAGGATGAGGAAGGAGGATAACCATGATTCGCGGCCAGCCTAGGCTACATAGTGAAATCCTGTCCCAAAAGATCAAAGGAGAAGGAGGGGGTTCAGGGAGAGTAGAAAAAAGAGGAAGGAGAGGAGGAGAGGAAGCAGCACCTGTTGGAGGACTGAGGTTGAGATGTCCGCGTGGCTGCCTGGAGGCCTGGCCCTCGAGGCTTTTCATCCTCCAGGCCTCCCCTCCAGACAGAGCTGTGAGAGGCCACCCTGGCACCCTCTTACCCTTACATGCTCGGGTTCTCTCCTCACACCGACGCACAGGCATCGTCCTTCACACATGCCTGTGCCCAGCCTCTCCTTCACACGGCCTTCCTCCAGCTACTGCAAAAGCACACACAGAACAGTTCAAAAACTGTTTCCAGGGCTGGGGAGATAGCAGTTTAAGTGCCTGCCTGGCAAACACAGGGACCTGAGCTCGATCACTGATACCGCATGCCTTACCAGCCCCAGGACTGGGCATGGTGGTGCATGCCTGTAATCCCAGGGCTGAGAAGGCTGAGCTAGGAGGATCACTGTGAGTCTGAGCTGTGTAGTGAGATCCCATATCAAATAAATAAACTATTTTTAAAAAGTGCCTCCTTGTATGCCTGTAATCCCAGCACTTGAGAGGCTGAGGCAGGAGAGTCACTGTGAGTTCAAGGCCAGCCTAGGCTACATAGAGAGACTCTGTCTCAAAAAACTAAAACATTTTAAAAAATAAAGTACTGGGCATGGTCACATGTTGATCCCAGCACTTGTGAGGCTGAGGCAAGAGGATTACCAAGCACTCAAGGCCAGCCTGGACTACAGAGTGAGTTCAAGACCAGCCTGAACTACATAGCAAGACCCTGTCTCAGAAACAAAAGCAACCATTCCTTTGAAGCAGATAGCGTCATCTGGCCTGTAACAAGATTGCCAGCCTGGCTCCTCTGAGGTAGACATTCCAGGACCTGGGCCTGCACAGATTCCTCTCTGGGTGGCTGCATTTCAGGGTCAGGCAGCAGAAAATGTACAGCCGCAAGCTCTACCTCCAGAATGTCTTCCAGGTAACACTTGGTGAATTGTGGGAAAGGTGGTAAGAGAACGGGAGAGAGAGACAGACAGAGTGAGACAGAGACGCAGAGAGGTGGGTCGGGAGCAGCCCGCAAGGGCGAGGAGGGTGGAGCGCGCGCGCGGGGGCGGGCCAGCGCTGCCCTGACCTGCGAGGCTTGGGAGGGTCACTTCCCTGGCGGGGCTCTTGCCTCCTCAAATGTTACTTGAGAGGTGGTGAGGTTTTTAACCAGAGAAACACTAAAAAGGCTTTTTAAAAAAAACAGGTCCTCTTCACTAACTTTGATTAAACTTCTTCCAAGTGTCTATCTAAAATTCTGCAGCCAAGCCGGTGTGGAAGATCATGCCTACAAACCCAGCACTAGGGAGGCTGAGGCAGGAGAATACCTGTGAGTTTGAGACCAGCCTCAGCTACATAGTGAGTTCAAGGCCAGCCTGGACTACATAGTAAGACCCTGTCTCAAAAAGAAGAAGGAGAAGGAGAAGACTACAAACTTCTGCAGCCAGAGTAATCTATTTATAAGACAGGTTTTCCCTTAGCCCATGCCTCTAATCCCAGAATTCTGGGAGGCAGAGGCAGAAAGATTGCAAGTGGGAGCCCAGGTGGGCAAAGTAGCAGATGTGGCCAGACCGTGTCTCAAGATCAGAAAGGAGCTGGAGATGTAGCTCAGAGTAAAGACCGTGAGTTCAGCCTCCGGTTCTGCCAAAGAGAAAATGTCTTCCATATTAAGACCGAGCAAGTTTATGTATTTCTTAAAAAATTATTTATTTGGGGCTGGCGAGATAGCTCGGTGGTCTAAAGCGCCTGCTTAGGCAAGCGTGCAATCCCCAGCACCACATGCCATGCCAGCCCCGCCCCCAGGGCGGTAGTGAGCCATCCTGTCTCAGCCTCCTTAGCCCTAGAATACAGGGCTGCCCAGGACGGCAAGGCATGTGGTATCAGGATCAAACTTGGGTCTTGTACTCTGCAGGCAGCACTTAGACCACTGAGCTGTCTCCCCAGCCCTAGACTTGGCAAAGGCAAGATGGCCCAGTAGAATAAGCGCTTCCTTGGCAAGTGCAAGGGCCTGAGTTCAATCCCCGGTTCCACCAAAAAAAAGAAAAAGCATTATGGCAATGTGGACGAATCCAGTCACAAAAGATTAACCATTTATATGAAATATTTAGAACAGGGAACTCCAAAGAGACAGGAAGTAGATTAGTGGCTGCCTAGGGCTGTAGGCACTGGGGGAAATGGGGATGACTGCAAAACAGTACACTTCCCATCGGTGAATTGTCTGGATAAGGCTTTACTTTGAAAAATAAGGTTATAATTCTATATTTTTATACAGCTTTCATTAATTTTTTTTTTTTTTTTTTTTTTTGCGGAACCGGGGATTGAACTCAGTGCCTTGTGCTTGCCAGGGAAGCGCTTATTCCACTGAGCCATCTCCCCAGCCCCTTTCATTAATTTTTTAAGGACTGTTCCAGATTGAGCATGGTGGTGCGCGCCAGTAATCCCATCACTTGGGAGGCTGTAAACAAGAGAATCAGTATGAGTTCGATCTAGTAGTGAGACCCTGAACACCCTGTAGAGCCTTCCCTAAAATACAGAAGAAAAAAAAAGGACTGTTCCTGAGTGATTTATCTCCTCAGTCATTGACTTTTTTTTGAGACGGGGTCTCCTACGTAGTTCAGGCTGCCTTGAACTCACTGTGAAGCCCACACTAGCCTCAAAGTTGGGACACTCCTCCTGCCTCAGCCTTCCCAATGTGGAATCACAAGTGTGTATTACAGCACCTGGTCTTTAATCTTTTTCAAAAATAGCTTTTGTTCTTGAAGAAATGTTCAAACACTTAAAAAGATACAGGGGCTCAAAAGTATACAGCTGAACAGTAAAGCGCTTGCCTAGCATGTGTGAGGCCCTGGGTCCAATCTCCAGCAGCACAATAAAATAAATACAATAAAAAGATAGAAAAAATAATACAATGAAGCCCATGGACCCCTCACCCAACCCCAACAACAGTCAGCACAGTCTTGATTCATCTGCATACCCACCCACTTCGCTCCTCTCTGCTCCTCTACTAAATGATTTTAAAGCAAATTGTAGATGTGGTAGCATTTCATGCACGGACATTTTGGTATTCATCTCTCTAAGAAAAGGGCTCCATCGACACGACCACAACACCACTAGCACAGCTAGAAACAGGCAGCTGAGCTAGACACGACCACATTCCCCGGCAGTGCCACGGTTTCCCCATTTGTGCCACACACTGGCTTATTCAAATCAAAAGCTAAACAAGGTCCACACGTTGATTTTAGTGCTGAGGCTCTTCTTTTATATGTTTTTATTTTTATAGGTTTCCTTCCTCCCTTTAAGAAAACGTGTTCTTTGCTCTACAGTATCTTCTGTGATCTAGATTTTGCTGATGGTGTCTCCAGTGGTGTTGCTTACGAGTCAGATACTCTTTACTTGAACCAAATCTGGCAGAACGCCCAAACACACAAAAAAGTGAAAACAAACAAAACTTCCCTGTTGAATGGATGGGGGCACGTCATGGCCCATCCGACCTCTGTTTCCTCTGTGGATCCTGCCAAGGGCAAAATGCCAGCAAACGCAGTTGGAAAACTAGAGTCTAGATAATACCCTGTTACCTTCAGTGTGTGCAGGGGTGTGCGGGTGGTGCGTGCGTGCGTGCGTGCGTGCGTGCGTGTGTGTGTGTGCTACCGCATGTTCAAGGATCAGACAGCTACCTTATCAGTTTTTTTCTTTTCTTTTTTTTTTTTTTTGGTTTTGATTACTCTGATAAGTTCCCTATCTAGGTCAGTGGCATAATGCACAATGATCTTCAGGGTGCTAGCAGGTTAAGCATACTCTGACTCTTCTCAGAGCATACACATGTCCTTTCTGTGCCCCAGGGACTCT